CAGACGCCGTAAATCCAGATATGTCCGGCAAGTGCCCCCATGCTGCGGAGTCGTCGGCCCTCTCAGCAACAGCGTCGTAGAAGGCGGACTCGCCCCAGTCAGACAAGTAGAACGGCCGGGTCCAGTGCTCCGCGTGCATGTCCCTGTCTCCTCCGCGCCTCGCTGCATCATCGGCGCAATCGTTGCCATAATCGCCACTGTGACCTTTGACCCAAACGACCTGGATGTCCCGTCTGCTCCTCGCCCGTGCCCAGAGGTGTCCAGCCAAGAGTGCCAGGCCTACGTTCTCTTTAGGCTGAAACTTCCCGGTGAGGATGCCGATCACATATTTGGAATCGCAGTGCAAGGTAACCGGATCACCAGTGGACAGCTGCGCCGCGCCCTGAACAGGGCAGTCGGCGAGTATCCAAAACAAACTTTCGATCGCAGCTGACAGTTCGGCAGTGTTGTTCGTACGAGTCTTGGCCCCAACGAATAGTGAACTAGACCGATCAAGGATAACTGGGCCAAATGCTGTAAGCAACGGTTCCTGCCCCGAACAAGGCACGGTGCCAAAATCGAAAGCCACAAACCCCCAACCGGCAGAGATAGTCCTCCTTCGCTTCGAAACGCAAGAACCATCTGTATAGATATGGAGAGCCAGAGGTGGACCCTGTCCTGGAACGGGCAGCGGTTCCAGGCCTAGCTGTTCCCGGACTTTGCCACTGTACTGATCGTCCGCAACTGTCCAGCCAATAGGTTTGGGAGTCCTCCGAGAAGCAGCCGAAGAAGACCTGGACGGCGTGGTCTTTCCCAATATGCTCATTACCAGAGCCCTGTGGTCGGTAACTGTTGCTTCGGACTCGTGCATGATGCACTTTGGTGCTGCTCGTCTGGGGAGGTTAGAACACATGTAGTCGATCTGTTTGGGCTCATGCTTGAGAAAGTAGTCGCAAGTAAAAGATCCGAGAGGGTCTTGTGTGAAGGTGTTCGCGACGCGTAGCTTCCCAGAAAGACAAAAGCGCAGAAATAGCTCGCCCTTCTTGCCCCTGGGGGCCTCTGCAAAGTCCCCCAACACCTCTGCATCATCATGGCTATTGGGCCCCAGCGCGTCTTGCGCGTCAACGCCAATCACTGAGTAACGTCCAACATGCGAAACTGATAACAAATATTCGACATCATCTAAAGCCTGCTCGCATGCGTTAAGATTGGGTCCGCGTGGCAAGTGAGCACCGTTAGCGCCCGCGGATCCTTCAACAAGACGCTTGTCGGAGGCCAGCGGAACGCCAATAGTGAACCTCTCCGTGCCGGGCTCCAGCGTCACAACTGTTCTATCCGGCGCGTTGTGCACTGCGCTTGCAGTGCACCTGTGATCGCTCTGCAACGCGACGGCGTTAGCCGCGGACGTGTCCAGCCTCTTGTAGTAAACCTCGGATTCCACGTCGTCGAAGACGATCGTTGCCGGTTCGACCGTCCACATCACTGCGGTCAGCGCATCAGCTCCCTCGGCGATCTCCTCGTCGGTCGGGCTCTCCATGAGGGAGATATCCTTAATCCTCCTCAAAGTGGCGTGAAGGTTCCCGGCGTTGCTAAACGCGTGCAGCATCAGCTTGACGTGCCCCATCGTCTCGGGAGAATTGTCAATCCGCCCGAGGCTCACAAGCTTGTCAACCAACTTGTCGATCGCCGTCGCACGCAGTGGCATGCGAACGTCGTTGAAGCCCACATTGAGATCCCACGGCACCTGCCCACGCCTGGCGCACCCGACGACAACCGGTGTCATCGCCAAATCGCTGAGCTGACCCGGATCGCGAAGAGCGGCAGTGCGCAGCGCAGCGTTGAGCCTGTCAATGGTCGCGCGCTCTGCGGGCGATGCCGCAAGCTTTGCGACCACCGGGATATCGATCTTCGTGTGGCGCACGAAAGTCTGCCCTCCCGCAGTAATCTCCTGCTCCGTGAATATCGGGGCCGCCCTGGCCAAAGACGCTCCCGCGTGGTTGACCACGAAGGACGCGGCGCGCGCAAGCGCCGGGCCGAGTGCTGCGGGTGACACCAAAGTCACCGCGACGCGCATGCCGACAGGAGCTTCAACCTTCTCGGTAAAGCCGCTGAACTCGAGATACTCTGGCAACGACGTTATCCCGGTGCTGTCAATCGCGTTGCACGTGTCTATCACGGCGCACTTGAAGAGCCGCGACATGCGCGCACACCCCGGAGTGGAAAGCGGCCCGACCGCGTCATTCGAGACGTCGCCAATATTTGCCACGTAACGGACAGCTTTGACAAAATCGCACCATTGCAGGCCGACCTTCAAATCATGGCCGAGCGCGGATTCGCCTCCGTCGTGCTCGACAAACTCATTCGGGCTAGGCGCTGAGACTGTGCGATCCACAAGCGACGGACGCGCTGCAGCCTGCACGTACTCCGCCTCTCTGGGCACAATGCCCGGGGCTCCGTTCGGCTTTGCTAGCTGCACCACGTACCCGCAGCGGCAGCCGCCCCCGGTCGCGGCTCCAACGGCATACCGTGCGCCGACGTCCACGACTTCGCTGAACCCCATCGTGTCAAAATCTCCCGACAGGGGGTAAAGCCCAGTGCCGTCGAGCAAATACCACGGCGCATCCGGATCCGACTCCTCGGACACCCTTGAAATGTGATTCGCGATGTCGACGTACGCATCGTAGTCATACCCACGACCGCCTGAAGGCGCCTGCGCGAGAGCGTCTCGCACGTTCTGGAACAGCTCGTCCGGATGCTCTGCCGTAACGTTCATCACGCGCGCCATCTCAGCAATCTGGTCCGCGAAGATGCTGCGCGGCACGACTGCGCGGATCTGGCCCTGCGTCCCTTCGAGTGGGCGGTAGTCGATCTCCCGCATCGCCTTCACACTACCGTCGATGTAAAGGCCCTCGGATATCGCGGCGATCAGCTGCCCGTTCTCGAACCGCACGACTGCCACATTCCCGAACTTAGGAGGCACGAACACCGCCCGCGAAGCGGGAACAACCGCAGCGGCCATGTTGCGGTAGCATGGATGGAAGGATGGATGGACTCTGGTTGGAGCGAGGCTGGGTGGAAGAACGGTGGCGGATAAGAGGATGGATAAAAGGGTGGATGGCTGGACGGGTGGGCGGCGGCTTGAGGGACACTGCGTGGGGGGGCGCTGGATGGCTGGATGGTGGGTGGACGGATGAAGGCTGGAGGAGGATGGAAGAAGGCTGCGTGGCAGGAGGGTGGATGGATGGAGGCTGGAGGAGGAGGGTCAACAGGCGGGAAGCGGAGGGGGATTGGGCAGAGGTTGAGGGGTAAAACGTATGTGGTGACCGGTGCAGAGTGATCCCTCGAGTCGGGCCTACTAATCTGTGACGTGAACTGCGACACGACTTGTACGACTACTACTACTACTACGACTACGACTACGACTACGACTACGACTACGACTACGACTACGACTACGACTACGACTACGACTACTACTACTACTGACTACTACTATTACTACACGTACTACTACTACTACGTACTATACTACTACTACTACTGACTATACTGTTAACTTATGTACCTTACTACTAATATACTACTACTACTACTACTACTACGAAACACTAACACTACTGTTGCTACTACAACTCCACTCCTACTACTACTACTACTACTACGATTACTGATACTTACTAACTACTACTACTACTACTACTACTACTACGACTACGACTACGACTACGACTACTACTACTACTACTACTACTACTACTACTACTACTACTAGTACTAGTACTACTACTACGACGACGCGCTCTACTACTACTACTACTACTACTACTACTACTACTACTGCTACTGCTACTACTACTACTACTACTACTGCTACTACTACTACTACTACTATTACGACGACGACTATTACTACCACTACTACTACTACTGCTACTACTTCTGCGACTACTACAACGACTACTACTACTACTACGACGACGACTATTACGAATAAGAAAAATAATACTACCTCTACTGCTAATTCTACGACTGCTAAGACTACCCGTACCGCAACTCGTACTCCTGCTACTACTGCTGCTACCACTACTACTACCACTACTTCAAATACTACTACTACTGCGGCTGCTACTACTATACTGCCATGTCTACCACTACCAGCACTACTACTAGTACAATTTATACTCTTACCACGACTACCACCACACCAACCATAACTAGTACTACTTCTACCACGAATACAACTACTGCTACAACTAATACTACTACCACACCTACAACTACTAGTAGCAGTACTACAACTACTACCACTACGACCACAACTACGACAACGACTACTACTACTACTGGTACTACTACTACTACTACTACTACCACTACGACTACTACTACTACTACTACTACTACTACTACTACTATACTACTACTACTACTACTACTACTACTACTACTACTACTACTACTACTACTATACTATACTACTACTACTACTACTACTACTACTACTACTACTACTACTACTACTACTACTGCTATACTACTACAGCTACAACAACTACTACTATACTACTACTACTAACTAACTACTTACGACTACTTTCGGCTACACTATACTGCAAACTACTTTTTACTACTACTACTATTCTAATACTACTACGATACTACTATAACCTATACACTACTACTAACTACTACTCCTGCGCATGACTCCTACGCCACTCCGGACACCTCTGCTCCTACTTTTCTCCCTCGATATGACTACCACCGCCACTACTACGACTACTACTACGACTACGACTCCACTAATGCTGCTACTACTACTACTTACTACTACTATCTTACTCACTACTACTACTACTACTACTACTACTACTACTACTACTACTACTACTACTTACCACTACTTACTACTACTTTCTACTACTTACTACTACTTACTACTACTTACTACTACTTACTACTACTTACTACTAATTACTACTACTACTTACTATTACTTACTACTACTTACTACTACTTACTACTACTTACTACTACTTACTGCTACTTACTACTACTTACTACTACTTACTACTACTTACTACTACTTACTACTACTTACTACTACTTACTACTACTTACTACTACTTACTACTACTTACTACTACTACCACTACTACTACTACTACTACGACTACTACTACTACGTACTACTACAACTACTACTACTACTACTACTACTACTACTACTACTACTACTACTACTACTACGACTACTACCGACCACTGCGACAAACCGCATCGCAATTAAATTAATACCGCGATGGGCGGCCAGGCCCTACAAACTGGATGGGGCACGCGTGACGACCCCCACCCCCGCCAAAGTTGAAAAGCGCATTTTGCTGGCGGGGATGCACGAAGTGTCCAACATTACGCTTCTGGGTCTAGTCCGCGAGTGATGTTCTGACACGATGCACGATCGCCGAATCGCAACAATGACTGTGATTCGCGGCGCTGGAATCCCAGGATGGTCGACTTCCTACGGGGGGTCATCCCCAAGTGACGATGGCTCTTTGCAGGGGCCTGTGAAAAAAAAAAAAAAGGGAACCTTGAGAAAAAGGTGTATTGCAATATCGTTTATAAGTCTGGGTTTTGCACTGGTCCTCCGCCTCCTCTTGCTCCCCTTCCTCCTTCCCCTCCCCCTCCTGCCCTTGCCGCCCAACTCGAGAATCAACGGGCGCGCATCCTCCCCCCCCCCCCCATCCAAAATTGAGGACGCGTGAATCGCCAGCGTCCGCCCCCGCTCAGGTTCTGCGCCAACTTTGGAGAGGGGGGGGGGGGGGCACCTTTATGTTTCCCTGCAACGCAGTCAGAGGGCCAGCGGGCGTTTCATTACCAGACAGCTGGCGCGCCATTCCCTACCAGACAATCGCACGCATGTCTTTATCAGGCAGTCGTCGGACAGCCAACGAACAACGTGGAAAGCACGCAAGCGTTTCCTTACCAGAAACCCAGCGCACAATTGCCCACCAAACAGCCGCAGGCTTTTTCTTACTGGACCGATTCACTAGACGGCCGGCGCGCATTTCTCTACCCGACAACGTCCGTGACGATTACGAGGATTACGACTACGGGGACGAGGAGTAGGGAACAAAGGGGGGAGGGAAAAGGAGCAGAATGGCGACTGGGATGATGATGCAGGCGCCGATGATGTTGACGATGCGGATGATGGCGACGCAGACGATGAATGTCATGAGTATGTCGATGACGACGTTGGTGATCAGGTTTGTGATGGCAACGCTGGCGATGATGATGACGATTGTGATGATGATGATCATGCTACCGATGATGATTATGACCAGGGAGAGGAAGAACAAGGGGAGAATGACGACGACGACAAATATGATGAGGAGGACGGAAAGGGAGGAGGATGAGCTAGGAAGAGGAGAGGAGGAGGTGCAAGGAGAAGGATATGAGGAGACAGGGGATGATGATACAATCTGCCTTGACGTGACTACGAGTCGAAGGAGGGATGGAGGCGCCCATGATGTATTGGTGCGCGGATTGTACCTGCAGGGGGGGATGGACGGAAGGAACGATGGAAGCATGGACGGAGGTTGGCGGCGGAGCCTGGATGGAGGCGGCCTGGATGGACGGAGGGGCGGGTGAGGGAACAGGGGTGCTCGATGGAGGGAGGACGGAAAAAGGCTGAATTGAAGGAGGCTGGATGGAATGAGGTAGGCAGGATGGGGTCTGGATGGATGCGCGCTGGATCGAAGGAGGGGCGGGGGTGGGAAGCGGGAGGCTTGATGGAGGATGGAAGGATGGATGGACTCTGGTTGGAGCGAGGCTGGGTGGAAGAACGGTGGCGGATAAGAGGATGGATAAAAGGGTGGATGGCTGGACGGGTGGGCGGCGGCTTGAGGGACACTGCGTGGGGGGGCGCTGGATGGCTGGATGGTGGGTGGACGGATAAAGGCTGGAGGAGGATGGAAGAAGGCTGCGTGGCAGGAGGGTGGATGGATGGAGGCTGGAGGAGGAGGGTCAACAGGCGGGAAGCGGAGGGGGATTGGGCAGAGGTTGAGGGGTAAAACGTATGTGGTGACCGGTGCAGAGTGATCCCTCGAGTCGGGCCTAGTAATTTGTGACGTGAACTGCGACACGACTTGTACGACTACTACGACTACGACTACGACTACGACTACGACTACGACTACGACTACGACTACGACTACGACTACGACTACGACTACGACTACGACTACGACTACTACTATGACTCGAATCGTACTACGAATGAGGTGCCTATCAGTGGCCCTCGAATGTACTAAGCTTTGTGTTCGTACGGCTATTAATATCAAGCATACAAATGCTAATCTACTACGGTTACTATACTCTACTACTACTACTACTACTTACTAACTACTACTTACTTACTAGTACTAGTTACCTTACTAAGGCCATGTCTCTCGCTCGACTACTACTACTACTACTACTACTACTACCACTACTACTACCACTACTACTACTACTAATACTGCCCCTTGCTGTTGCTTAGCTACTTGCTACTAATTACTGTTGCGATACTACTACTGCTACTACTACTACTACTATTACGACGACGACTATTACTACCACTACTACTACTACTGCTACTACTTCTGCGACTACTACAACGACTACTACTACTACTACTACGACGACGACTATTACGAATAAGAAAAATAATACTACCTCTACTGCTAATTCTACTACTGCTAAGACTACCCGTACCGCAACTCGTACTCCTGCTACTACTGCTGCTACCACTACTACTACCACTACTTCAAATACTGCTACTACTGCGGCTGCTACTACTATACTGCCATGTCTACCACTACCAGCACTACTACTAGTACAACTTATACTCTTACCACGACTACCACCACACCAACCATAACTAGTACTACTTCTACCACGAATGCAACTACTGCTACAACTAATACTACTACCACACCTACAACTACTAGTAGCAGTACTACAACTACTACCACTACGACCACAACTACGACAACGACTACTACTACTACTGGTACTACTACTACTACTACTACTGCTACTACTACTCGTAATACGATTACCTTTACTACTACCTCCTCTACGACTACGAATGCAGAGACTACTACTATTACTACTACAACTACAACTACAACTACTACTACTACTACTACTACTACTACTACGACTACTACTACTTATACTAGTATACTACTACTATTACGACTAATACTGCTAATGCTACTACCACTACTTCTCTTATTACTACTACTGCTACTACTACTACTACGACTGGTACTGCGACTGGAAGTACTAGAGCTGCTACAACCACCTGCAACTACTTCTACGTCTACCACTACAAATAATACTGCTGCCACGATTACTCGTCTTATTCCAACACCTCCTGCTACAATTATACTTATTTGTCTACTTCTATTTGTTCTATTCTACTACGACGAAAAAGCCGGCGACGACTACTACTGCTACTACTACTACTACTACTACTACTACTACTACTACGACTACTACTACTACGACTACTACGACCACTACTACGACTATCACTACTACTACTACTACTACAACTACTGCTACTACTACTACTACTACTACTACTAGTACTACTACTACTACTACTACTACTATCACTACTACTACTGCTGCTGCTGCTGCTACTACGACGACTACTCGTACTTCGACTAGTACCACTACCACAGCAACTACTACTAGAACGACAGCAACTATTCCTACTACTGCTAGTATTGCTGCTGCTACGTCTAACTCTACTACTGCTAATACTGCAACTACCACTGCTACTACGACTAAGACTACAACTATGACTACGACTACGACTACCACTACATCCACCACCACTACTAGTACTACTACGTCGACTGCTACCAGTACTACTACTACTACTACTACTACTACTACTACTACTACTACTACTACTTCACTACTACTACTACTACTACTACTACTACTACTACTAGCGCTACTACTACTACTACTACCACCACTACTACTACTACTACTACTGCTACTACTACTACTACTACTACTACTACTACTACGACTACTACTACGACTACTACTACTACTACTACTACTACTACTACTACTACTACTACTACGGTTGCTGCTGCTACTAAGACTGCGACTAGGACTACGACTACTACGACTACTACAACTACTACGACTACTACGACTACTACTGTTCTACTGTTCTACTACTACTACTACTACTACTACTACTACTACGACGACGACGACGACAACGGCTACTACTTCTACGACGACTACTACTAGTACCAATGCGACTAATGCTGCTATTGCCGCAGTTCTGTCCCCTCCTCAGTCTCCTCGTCGTCCCCCTCCTCCTTTCCCCGTCCTCGTCTTCCCCGACCTCCTCTCATATTCCCACCTCCTTTCTTTTGAACCCCAGACCCCCCCTGGCGTTGCCCGCCGCCAGCGCTGGGCACCGGGGGGGGTCCTGCACGTAGTCCAGGATGACGGCCCGCATGGGCTTCGTGGAGCCGAAGCCGAAGGGCATGTCCTGGGGTAGGCAGCGCACGGTTGTCGGAGGCACAGGGCCACCCAGCCCGCAGTGGCTGGGACGAGGGAGGCAAAGAGGATGAGGAGGGGAAAAACACGATCGTCACATCGCTCCCGACTGAACATACTCTTTTTCACAACGGGCGCTGTGCCATGCTGCTGCGGATGAGCCGGGATGCGCGCACCAGAAGACAACGAATGCCACGGATCGCGCAATGGTGGGTCAAACGTGAAAACGCACGGCTGACTCGCCCGCAAAACGGCCATGTCGCCCTGCAACAAGGGCAACGATGCAACCGGATTCAGCGACATCCAACCGAAACGTGGTTTTATAACCCATCGGCATAATTACTGCCGCGTCGTGGCCACGACGCTCGAATTCTAACGCAACGCAGCGGCTGTTGATTGGCCGGGCTTCGCCGATCAAAAAGAATTGTGGCTAAGACCGCGCAGA